AGCAGGCACTCTCAAATACTGTTTGTGGAAATATTAAATGGTTCAACCCCTATGGTCAAAAAAGGGAAAAGCCACCTTTTTTCCCCAAGGCTATTCACTGCAGCACTATTTTCAACAGAAAAAGACTAGAAACAGCCAAATTACCCATCACTAGAGGTCCAGTTGATAAACTTTAGTGGATCCACTTAATGAAGTATTTATTATTATACCTTAAACCACGGAAGCCAAGAACCAATTTGAAGGGCTCCCACTGGCCAAAACTTGGATAATTTGAGCAAAGAGAATAAAACCTACTGTGGATTAAAACACTATATGTTTAACATATATGCTATATGTCAAAATTCATGAACTCATAATGGTACCAGAAAAACTGTCTTTGGTACATTCTAGGGATTCAGTTCATTATGCTGCATATTGATAAACATAAGGAAGGAATAAAAAAATGTAACCTGCCTTTCCCTGGTCGGGTAGCCCAGTTGGTTGTCCTGATACTCCAAGGTTGCAGTTTGATTCCAGGCCAGGGCACATATAAGAATCAACCAATGAATAAGTGGAACAACAAATCAACGTTTCTCTCTTTCCTCCTTTCGGCTGCCTCTAAAATCAATAAATTTAAAAAAACAAATAAACCTGCCTTTTATAAAGTACATCTTAGAGTAATCAAATGATTAACACAGAAATTTCCTTTCTATAGAAGTATTCCTAATAAATGAGAAAAAATACTTAAAATATCAACTAATTGCCGGGCTAGGCGTGGCTCAGCGGTTGAGCATCGACCTGGGACCCAGGTGATCAGGGTTCCATTCCCGGTCAGGGCACATGCCTGGGTTGTAGGCCCGATCAATGAATCTCTCATCATTGATGTTTCTATCTCTCTCTCTCCCTTTCCTTTCCTCTCTCTGGAATCAATAAAAGATATATTTAAAAAAAAAACAAAACTAATTTGGAAACATTAACAAAACAATGGATCTAGGGAATGATCTCTGGCTGCTAACATCACAAAAGGGGCACACCAACCAATAGGTGCCCTCTGGAAGAAGTACACACCACCTCAAATGAAAAGTTATTTTCCACAAAAATATCTCAACCGAATCAGAACAGCCTTTAGAGGTAAATACCATTTCACAGGAAATGCAGAGTACAGAGATTCAAGCACTACCACAGGAATGCAATCAGAAAAACCCAGAGTGAGTTAAGACCTCTACATGACACACAACCTGATTTGTTCAACAAAGAAGAATCTTGTAAGAATGGAGAACCACCTATATCTAGATGGTTACTAATAAGGCAGTCACTTATCACACTTGAAACTTGGCTGGCACAAACTGAGGTGGCTGTAAATAATAAAGTACACACTTAGTTTGAAAAAAGCATGAAAAATGTAATTTAAAAATATAATAAATGAATATTTTAGATATATATTAGGTTAAATTATTACATATGTGGCTTGCATTTTATTTCTATTGGAAAACACTGCTCTGGATTACAACATAATTTAAGAGATATAGCCCTGGCCAGTGTGCTCAGCTGGATGGATGTTGTCCTGTGCAGCTGAAAGTTGCTGGTTCGATTCTGGTCAGGGCAAATGCCGTATAGTGGGTGTGGGCTCGATCCCTGGTAGGAGACATGCAGGAGGCAGCTGATCCATGTTTCGCTCTCACATTGATGTTTCTCTCTCTCTTCTCTCTCTCAAATCAATGAAAACATATCCTTGGGTGAGGATTTTTTTTAAATGACATTAAAAAAGATAATCTACCAAATATAAGGTGTGACCTTATTTGGATACCAATTCAAACCCAGCAGCTGTATAAAAATATTTATTAAACAATTAGGTATATTTGAACACTGGGTATTTGTTGATATCAAGGAATTATTATTTCTCTAGGTGTGATGGTATTGTGGTTATAAAGATCCTTAGAAATACAAGCTGAAATATGAATAAAAATCTTATTATGTCTGGGATGTGCTATAAAATAAGACAGGCTGGTCTTAGCTGATCCTGGTTTTCCCTCTGCCCTGCCTTTTGTCTTCCACAACTACCCTGGTTCAGGACAACCAGATGGGGGCAGAGGCCCTGGCAGGGAATGGCTGTCTGTCAGAAAGTTCAGAAAGATCTAAGTGCCAGGCCCAACTGTGTTACTGAGCAAATGACTTCTTGTCTCCTGGTGTCCATTTTCTCATCTGTAAAACGAGGAGAATACCAATACCCCCTTTATAGCCTGGCCATGAACATGTGATTAGAAAATGTTATAAAACACCTAGCTCTGTGCATGACCCAGTAAGGGTGAATTAACGTGGTTTTTACAAAGAGTAAGTGCCAGAGCTCATATTGAGGGGAAGTTGGCAGGAAGTTACCTCTGTGGAAGGGGGCCCCCTCCCATTTATGCAGCCCCTCCAGGCACCTACCCTGATGGGCACCCTGTCTCCACACTCTCCTTCACAATTTTGGCCATAAACAAGGAGTAACTCTTCTATTTAATCAATATTTTCCCTTAAGTCAATTCGAATTTTTACTTGTTTAATGGAAGCTTTGTAACTAGACTCTTAAGTGAAAACCAGTCACTTGTCAGTTAAAAAACTAAAATAAAATAAAAAGGAGACTAACATGGAAATAACAAACCTAATCAATTTACAGAAATGCATACAGGAACACGAGATTCCCAAAGCAAAGGATGGACTCCCCTAACATTAGTGATAGAGCAGTCTCTCCCAATATTCACTTATTTTAAAATGAAAAAATCTCATCTAGAAATAAGCACTGAAAACACCAATTTTCACCGACAGACCCTAATATATTTTTTGTCTATCCGGCAGAGAGCCCAAAGTATTTTCATTACTGGAAATTCAGAAACAAATAATTAACTTTTAAAAACGTGACTAAAAGTAACAGTGAGAATTACATTAAGATCGGTAGTTTCGATGGCGTTTTGAATTAAAAGATTATTTCCAGCTTTCAAAATTCTCCTAGCTCCACCAAGTTCAGGACACGCAAGGGCCGCCCCTAACCTCAGGGGCTTCTGCCCCGACCTCCCACCCCCGCGACCAGCCCA